CAGGGTTTCCTGCTAGGCCTGGGGGTTCCGCTGGCCCGAGGAAGCAAGGCAACTGCCCGAGATGACCCGCCAGAGTGAGTTCGAGAAATCCTTTCCCACACGTTGCTCACGCTGCAGGGGTTCCTTCCCAGGGCTAATTGGGTGCCTGAGTTTGGGCCCCGTTTCCTATTTCAAGGCTCACCTGGAAAATCCAGGGGCTGCTTACGCGTCCTGACTCAGGCCCCCTCGCCCCGTGTCCTTCCTCTGAATCAGTGTTTCCAAAGTGTGGGGCCCACCCAGATGGAGAAATGATTGCGCTCACAGACGTGGCACTCCGTTCACTGAATTGCGGAAGAGAGGGTGTGCCCATAAGTGCCCTCCCAGCCTTGTGGGTCCTCGGGGGAGAGCTCCCCCGGACCGTCCTCACGCCTCGCTGACCCGGCCACCTCTGTGTGAGCAGGGGGAGCAGCACAGGCTCTGGCAGGCACTGAATGGCCGTGTTTTCTGTCCGTTCTGGCTCCTTCTGGCTCCCACCCTTCCCACCATCCAGGTAGCTGACACCGGCTTCATCTCCCAGGGAGCACTGCCAAGTTTTTTTTTTTTTTTTTCCAAAAAATAATGCATTTATACATTAAAATATCAACTAGGAAAGTAAATCATGAGGCAGGTGGCAGCTGTAGCAATCACTGGGGAGGGGCAGGAATGGGGGGCCCCAGAAGTGCCACTGGGGGTGACTGAGGAGTCGTGCTGAGGGTAGGTGAAGAGTCTGTGGCTAGGAAGGAGGTGGTGGACTCAGCCCCCGGGGGGCTGCTGCAGGGCCCAGCACCTGGCGTGGGTGTAGCTGGCGGTTTCACAGCTGTGGTCCAGGCCGGGGGGAAGGGGCCCTTTCCACCAGGTCCCAGGCGAAAGCCTCTGTTGAGACACCCACTTATCCTGTGTGTCCAGGGAGGAAGCTGATTCAGCCTCAGGGTCCCACAGCTGAGGGCCCGAGGGAACTCTGAGCCTTCCCAGAGCCAAGGGAAGCTGGTGTGGAGCTGGCCCACAGCCCAGGCAGCGTTTCTCACTCTGCCATCACTGCCTTTGGCTAAAAGTGCCGGCCGCAGGCCTCCCTGGTGACACACGGGCTTAACTCTCGGCACTATGAAGCTATTGCTCCTCACAGCTCCCCCGGCCTGGGAGCTGACCGCAGGGCACAGCCGACCTCTCCTGTCTCCCAGCTGCTCCCCTCAGCAGTGGATTTCATTAGATCTGCCTGTTCTGCTCCCCACTCTGTCTCTGGGGAATCCTCTCACTCGCCCCTCTCATACCTCTGGCCCGAACCCCAGCTCTTGTGTGCATAAATAAATAAAAAACTTGCCAGTGCTACAAGCTAAAAGCTGCCTGGTCCCCTGTCATCACTGCAGTCACCACCATGTAACTGTCTCCACCAGCCATTGACCTGAGACTAGAGCCAGAGCCAGCCAGAGAAATATGCAGACACCCGTCATACGCTATTTATCTATCCATGAGTCGCAGTCTTGCTAGGCAGGAAGAATGTGAATAAGAAAATAGACAAATAAACACCTGTTCAATTCAATCAAGTATAAAGCCCTTTGGGCGAGGACTGGTTTTGTATAAATCAGATCCAGAGGTGAGGGGGCCGCCCTAATGGAGGCATCGATCATAACTTAGATTTTGGCCAAATGACCAAAAGAGTTGACCTCTGCCCCTTGGGATGGAAACTTGAACCTGCTTGGGTAACCTGTCTCCTGCAGCGAGGTAAATGTTTAATCCTTGGTAAGTGATGTGGAAACCCAGAAAGACTAGAATTTAAACACATGAAGATGATATGATAAATAAAACATGGCAACATTGATACAGCAATGTTGGGCCAGTTCTGTGTGTTGGTGAATAAGCTTCTGTGTTGGGTCTCCAGTTTCTTTCTGATGTGACCTTGTAACTAAATAACTGCAACTTTAAGACGAACATTTAAGAGAATGTGACTATGTAAACACAATTAGAGGATTTAAAGTGAATTTAATGTTCACGTCTTTTAAAATTATTTACATCTGCAATATCCTTTGAAATCCTTGGAGAAGTCTTGCTTCTTAAGAAATATTGGAAGCACTTACAAGAAAATCAAATTCATTGATTTGTAAAGGCAGTGTAGCATAGGTAAGACTGTACTATGGAAAATAATGCGGCCACGTGTCATTTAAAAGTTTACAGTAGCTACATTTCAAAAAGCAAAAAGGAGTAGGCCCTGGATCAGCCTCTACATTGCAACAAAAATTTAGTTAACAATATATCCAAAATACTATTATTCTGACATGTAATTCATATAAAATTCATTAACGAGATATTTCACTTTCTTTTTGAGCATCTGTTTTCCTATGTATTTTACATTTCCTTAAGGCCTCTCGCTTTGGGCTACCAGGACTTGAATGCCTCGTTCCAGTGGCTGCTGTCTTAGACAGCGCAGATATAAGGGAATTTAATTAGCCACGTTTATAAGTGGTATTTGTTATTTAAGGAAGTTTCTTCGTTCAGTCTGGTTTGCTGAACTATTTAACAAAGGCATCTGAGAGTCATTGTTGAAAATTACCAGACTTCACAAAATGAGGTTTGTATATTAAACATTAAATCGATTTTTTAAAAATTGTTAATTTAAGAGACTTTTTATAAAAAACCACACAAATAGCCCTTTCATGCACAAAACAGCCCGCAAGGACCCCACCGCTGAGGTCCAGAGTCTGAGCCGCAACCTCCGCTCTGAGCCGCGGGAAAGGCCTGGTTCTTTGCTGCTGAGTCAGCGTCATGCCTGGACAAGACTTAGGGGTCCTTGGCCCAAAGCACCCCAGTCTCCTGGCAGGAAAATGAGGTCGCGAGCAGAAGGGGCACAGCCCAAGTGGGAATTAGCAATCGAACTCGGCGAAACCGGGTTTCCCCAGCCCATCCCATCCTCCCCATCAAGAACTTCTAGTTCCTTCTCTCAGCCTCCTCATCCCCATGTGGCTGGTCAGGAAACAGGCACAGACATGGGGTGAGGAGGGTGTGGACAAACTGGCCCTGGATCAGCCTCCAGGGAGCACCATAGGAAAGGGAAAAACATGGCTCCCAAGGGCTGGTCCCGCCCTGGTCCTTCTACGGCCCTGTGATGGGAAGCCCAGAGCCCAGCCCAGCCTGGGAAGCAGCCCAGGATGGAGGCCGAGACCCCAAACTGGAAAGGAGAGTGGGAGCGGGGAGGCCTGTCCAGCACCGAGGGGCTGCGGCCTGGCCCACCAGGCCCCAGGAGGCCTGACCGCAGCCAGGGCCCGGACCCGGCCCGACACCTTCTAGACGCACACACGGTTCTCTGGGTGAGGGCTGGGGACTCCCTCCTGGGCCTCATCCTCCCAGCAACCCCTCCCCCCCAGTTTGTTTCTTCTTTCTTTCTTTCCTTTTCTTTCCCTCCTTGGAGACCCCAGCCCCCTCCGCCAACGTGGTCTGAGGCAAGGGGGCAGGCAGAGGTGAGAGAGGTACAAGGCCCTGGGTGCCCACAGGCAGGGCGGACACAAGGCCAGCTGCCCGCGGTAGGCTGGCCTGGCCCCTCCAGGAGGCCTACTCCCGGGGGCGGCTCCTGGTTTTCCTGTCTGGAAAGCCTCCCCCCATCAGGTTTCTCATCCGCAGGAAGCCCCACCCGTGCCCCTCACAGGACTGGGGAGCACAGCATTCAGTGCCATCGAACCACAACACAAGGACCCGACTCCCATTCCATGCACTGTCAGCCCCTGCAAAGCCAGGAAGAAAACAACTGTTTGGGCCAGGCTGTCTCTATCGCCCCCCGTAACAAAGCGGGGTGGGGTGTCTTGCTGGCTCCAGGACCTTTATACTCTTGCTTTCCTGCTCTCACATATAGAAATCGCTTTTGGCTGCCATTTATTTATGTGCTTACCTTTACCCTTTACTTAGGGCAAATGACGTCAGTTTTCCATTGCCAATAGTGACATAAAGTTTCCTTTCCAAAGTAAATTTGCATCAGTAACAACACAGCTTCCTGACGTAAACACTGTAACTGCCCGGGGTGGAGACAGGGCAGTAGATGACCAGAAGGTCTGATGCGTAGGGACGCCTGGCAGAAGGGGCCGGAGCCCCAGAAGCTGCTGGAAGAGCAGAGAGGCCAAGCCAGCCTCCCGGGCAGGAGGCCTGCCCGTTCCTGCTTGGAGAAAATGCCTGAGCCAGCCCAGGTCATGAGGCCGCCGCACAGCTCCCCAAGACGCCCAGACGCCCCTCTGACGGGGCCTTCCGGGGCCCTCACACCAAACTGAAAGCACTTGGCATCAGCACGGCCAGAGTGCTCAGACGCCCGGCCTAGAATTCCATCTCCGCACCAGCTTCCCAGGCCCCCCAATTCCAGGGCAGGGTCTCGTTTGTCTCTGAGCCCCAGGCCAGCTCCTGCTAGCGTGGCCCTGGGCAAGCATCTGATGCACACAGCTGAGCACCCAACCCCCGGCCACCCCATGCCCAGCCAGGCGGCGAGGATGCCTTGGCACCCGGGGAATGAGGAGGGGCCCTCAGCAGCCCCTGCCCACGTTGCCCAAAACCACCCCGAAGTGCTGGCTCTGCCAGCGCCCGCAGTTCTCGACAGGCCGGGCTCCTGGGTTCTGTTTCGCATTCGCTCTGCGGTAGGAGGCCAGGCTCCTGCGCCCCGAGCCTCAGCTTTGGGGTCGCGGATAGGAGCTCAGGGCCCGTCCTCTCGGGAGGTGAGCGGTTCCTTCCCTGGGGTCTGCCGGACCCCCGAATGGGAGCGCTCCTGAGTCCATGGGGGAGGCACCTGGCCCGCAGACCCCAGACGCCCACAGGCCCTCACCCGCCGGGGTCCCCTCGGCCCTGTCCATGCCCTGATGCCCCCAGAGGCTCCTGACTGCCGCTGTCACACCAGGGCCCACCCTGCTGCCCATGCACAGTCTCGGCTAAAGGCCCCACCAGGGTGAGCGTGGGGAAACAAGCAGAAAGGGGTCCAGAGGCAGGCCCGGCCCCCCGCCCGCAGGAGAGAGCGCTACCTGAGAGGGCTTCCGTCAGCAAGCCCGCCGTGGCGAGGAAGAGCCACGCTGCCGGTGCCATCTCTGCTGCTGCTACGCGTGCCCGCTGGCAGGGCGCACCATCCTAGCGCCGGAGGGGGACGTGGCCTCGGGGTGCCGCCGCGCACCCCTTCTGGCCTTTGCTGCTCCTGTTCGCCTCTTTCTCTCGACTGCAGGAGAGCACGCCCCTGCACGCATGCGGCCCAGCCAGCCCTGCACTCAGCTCTGTGCTCTACTTGCGGTTTGGCCTCCAGGAAGGAGGCTGCTGTGGCGGGGCCTGGCGGGAGCAGGTGCGGCGGCTGGGAGCCCACCGGGCAGGGCCCAGCGGAGTCCGCGGGAGAGTGAGCCCCAGCGGACGCTCCCTCAGTGGGTGCCGGAGGGGCCCCCGCCTGGCGCCTTGCACGGACTCCTGCTGATTCGTGGGACTAAGCCCCCCAGCTTACCCTGCCCGTGGGTGCAGAGCTGGCTGGGAGAAGGAGGGCTTGGTCTACCTCTTCGGAGAGGGAGAGCCTCCCGCCTCCCCTCAGAGGAGCCCTAAGTCAGAAGGGCTGGCAGGTTAGGTGCCCTGCCTCCTAGCTGGGGCTGCCCCCCCAACATAGCACCCAGGGGTGCAGCTCCCGCCACGTCCATGTCCCGCACGGGGCATCCTCTCCCCGCTGGGAGCCTGGCACGCAGCTGGGCCCGGGAGTGTGAGTGGGATTTCAGCGGTGATGCCGGGAGGCCCCCAGGCAGAAGCGGGGCAGGGCAGGATTTAAGTTGTCCTGCCCAGAGGCTGGACACTGAGGACACTGGCCAGCCCAACTGGGGCCACTGGGAAGGAAGCAGGGTTGAGGGGCTCAGTCTGCTGCTGTGCTCCTGTGGCCACACCGCAGATGCTGACCGGTGCTGCGTGAGAATGAGGGAAGAGGTCACTTGTCCACGCAGAACCCTTGAAAGACCAGAGAAGCCTGGCTCCATCCTATTTCTCCCCTGTAGGACCCATCCCAGATTCACCTGCCCTGGCCTGGCACGCCCTGAGCCCCACGGGTCTTCCTCTCCCCACCTGGGGATTTCCCCACCAGATCTCTGTCCTCTGGGCCCTCGGTCATGAGGGCTCTGGTGCCCCAGGAGCCTGTGGGTGGAAAGACTGCCACAGCGAGGCTGCTCCCTGGTGGGGGGTTACAGGTAGCACAGGGGGTGGTCCAGCGTCTCCCCTGCAGGGTTCAATTCCATTCACCCTCAGGTGGAAAGATTGGGTGGGGCCAGGAACTCGGAAACAGGCTCCATGGCTCCAAGGGAGGACAGGAGCAACCTGCCCTCGAGGAGCAGAGCACGGGCTTCACAAAGACCAGTGACCAAACCCCAGGCCAGAGGAGGGCGAGGACAGCCAGAGGTCTGTTTCCAAGAGAAACATTCATTTGACTGGGGAGGGCAGCCTGATGGCAGCCTACATGAAAAATTCTCCAAAACGGCAAAATAAACCCCTATTTAAACATTTGTAGAGATGCATGGCTGGGATGGAACAAAACTAGGGTCATTTAGCAGAGCCCCAGCGTGAGAAGAGACGACCATCCCAGAGACGACCGAGAGCAGAGGCAGCCTCTGGTTCCAGGTGTCCACACTTCAGTGTAATGGGCCCAGACTAAGCCGAGACACTGAGCAAAGTGAAAAGCAAAATCGAAAGCAAAACAATCAAAACGACACCCGGTGGAAGAACAGGAGAGAAAGACCTTTCAAAGATAGGGGGCACCGATCTGGGAACCCAGGAATGTCAGCCCTGACAGCTGCCGACCCTTGCAGGCCTGTCAGTGGGTCTGGCTGGGGGTGACGCTCAAGGGACTACTTGGCAGAAAAGGCAGCACAATAAGCAAGCAGAAAGCAACAGAGAATTTAAAGTAGAAGGTGGTTCTCTAGACACTTGGGAGAAACAAATGTGAAAATCATCCCTGGACAAACTCATTGTAAAGTCAAAGAATTCCCAAGGGGAAAGTTCAGAGAACATAAGCTTGCGTGAAAAAAAAAAAATCATAAATCTCAGGACACAAGTGTATTAGAGCTCTCCAGGGAAACAAAGTTAGTAGAATATTGCACACATGATTTCGTATAAGGAATCGATGCACGTGATTTTGGAGACTAAGAAGTCCCAGGATCTTAGCCCATAAGGTGGGTCCTCAGGGGAGCTGCAGTCTAAGCCTGGAGGCTGAGAGCCAGGAGAGCAGGGGTGCAAGTTCTAAGTCTGAGTGTGAAGCGGAAGATAGTGTCCAGCTCAAAGATATGCAGAGACCATTCTCTCGGAACAAAATCACGGCCTTTCTCTTCAAGTCAGGCTCTCGGTGGGCAAGCCCGACCTCACCTGTTTCACTCACTGTGCCCATTGAAGAGTGACTTTTGCCCAGAAACACTCACAGACACACTCAGAATCAGGTTTAACCAAATAGCTGGATACCCATGACCCAGGCAAGTGATATTTAAAATTAACCATCACAGCCAGCTGCAGTAATTGAAAATTGCACCAAGCTGTAAACAATCTGTTCAAACCTTCAAAAATGCCAATCTTGGAGTTATGGTATTCATAATGTAAAACAAGAATTTTATATGTTTTGTATGTTTAAAGAACCTCAAATTGGTGGTGGGGAATATAGGCGAGCTGAAAATAATAAAGTGATATGTCAATAACGAATTACATGAACTTCAAAACCAGCGATCAGTGGAACACTGAAGAGCAGATTAACATGGCTGAAGAAAGAACCAGCGAGCTGACAATAGATCTGGAGACTTACCCACACACAGCACAGAGAAACAGATGGAAGATGTGAGACGCGCTGGAAGGAACATACACAGCCCAGTTAGAGTTCAGAATGAGACTGATGAAAGGCATCATCCTCATCCTGTGACACAAGTTGTGCAACTTCTATCGGCTGACAAATTCCGGATAGAAAAGGAAAACCTCTGAAAAATCAGAATTCCCACTGCTAACTTATGTTATGACCTCCCTTTTTTGTACAATCATAATATCAAAATATTCTGAGCAACCATCAGTTTACAGCTGGATTGCCTTAGCCTCCTAAGGCGGCTGCCTGGCCCAGGCAAGCTGGCCCAAGGCAAGAAATCCCTCTGTCTCCTGAGACAGAAGGCAAGCCCCAGGAGAAATAAGGCCCCAGGGCATAAAAAACTCCTGGGAAGCTTCCTTGGTTTCTTTGAATAAAAAGCAAATCCCAGATAAGACTCCCAGGGCATAAGGACTCATGGACAATTTTTAAGCTTGTTTACACAGGTGTTGCTTAATACATAACTGTACAACTTTCCCTGAATTTACTCTTTTTAAAAACAAGCACTAACTACTCTCTGCTAGCCTCAAATTAGCCATTAGCTTTTCTTTAGACCATCACTGCTAACACTGCTAACACAATTTATTACTTCCCTAAGACCCCTAATTACCTTTTGCTAACAAGCTCACCCTTTCCCAGACCCCTCTTCCTTTGAGTGATAACTAAACATCTATACACATGACAATTATCACAAAAATGTACAATTTAGTATACCATAAAATGTTAAGAAAAAAATGCTTTGTTTCCCTTGTCCTTGAGAACGTTTATGACAATTTATGGCCATCTCTCATTAACTTACCCAATGCATTGTTGCAATTAACTACTTGCTACACAGTATAAGTAAAGACCTGCTGAGGGAGTGAGCAGGAAAGACCTGCACCCAGCCCTGACTCCCAAGTCCTCTTCACACCCGCTCCCCTCTCCCCTTTTGGAATCTCTGCTCGCCTACGCCTTCCCACCTTAGGGCCCTGCCTGTCTCACCTCCAGACACCTCGATAGTTGGGGCCGGTCCCCAATAGTCCTGGAAGTTTAAACAAATAAAAAGAAAAAAAAATTTAAAAGATAATAAATGAAAAGATCAATATAAAGAAACCTGTACAGAACATAGGGTTGTAGAAATATTAACAGCTGACTTGCTAGTCTCAACAACTGAAATCAGAAGTAGAGTCACATCTCAAAGTACTAAGAGATAATAGCTCGCCACCTTGAGAATGAGGTTGAGCAGATGTAATATTAGATAAAAATTGGAAGTATTTACAATCCACAAACTCAAACAGAATCCAAGGAAATTCACAGATGTTCTTCAGGAACAAGGAAATCACTCCCATAGGGAAGTGTGATATTCAAATAGAAATGATGAGCAAAGAACTATATAAATACGGAGATAAATAAGCCTTAAAAGAATATGTAATTTGTGGGGTTTGATAAAACAAGATAAAAACAAAGAACCGGAAAACAATAACAAATCACAAAGGAATGACAAGATTAAAACAGGCTATTATTTGGCAAGAGCACGGAACTTTGCCTAGTTTGTGACTCTGTGAAAATAGATGCACATGTTAAATTAGTAGAGCAATAAAGGGGAGCAAAGGGAAAGGAGAAGGAATGAAATAGCGAGGTCAGGACAGACGGGAGGACAGGTGGGTTTCAGCAGAGGGGTTCAGAGTGGCAGGGTAAGTAGAGACAGGACAGCACAGTGGGGCCCGAGGTGACACCTCAAACAGCCCCTGTACGTTGGACGTGAGGCTCTGAACAGGAAGCTGGGAGATACACCCACTTGGGGCCCAAACCAATCGCTCAACTTCCTTCTAGCTCCTGGAAAAGGACCATCTGCAGTCCGTTTACAAGGGACACTTGGTGGTTCTCCATCCTGTGGAGACTCAGGCATTTTCCTTGCAGACTGAGTCTCTGTCTCAACTCATCCCAGCACAACGGAATACAGGACACAACCCCAGGAAGCCGGACTCTCCAACCAGAGGGAGGTCCAAGAGCTGCCTCCTCCTGCCCACCGCACGGCAGAGGGCAGAGTTACTGTTATGCTTACTGAGGGCTCCCGTGTGCCAAACACTTTCCTGGGCTTCCCTGATGCTCACACCAGCCCAGAAAAATAGGTCCTGGCCTTAGTCTGAGGGAATTTGCTCACGATCCCACACTATGGAAGATCTAACCACTGACAATTCAGTCCTATTTGAGGGCGTGGGGGTGGGGTGAGGGTTAAAGCATAAAGGTTTGGCTG